TCAGGTCCAGTACACTCTGCCGATTGAGCTATATAGCTGTAAAGACCTATAATAGCTCTATTGACCTATCTGAAATAGGTCTTTTGAGCTATTTTCAAGTGATTTTCTTTTTTAAGGAAAACGGAACAAAGTCGCATTTAATAGAAGATTGTATCATTAGGTTGATAACAAAAGACATTAAATATAAGTATTCTTTTTAAAAAAAAATGATGTAAAGAAATCGGAAATTTTACATTTATGAAAAATGAAAATAAACATCTAACTGTATGCTTTTTGTAGTCAACATTACCATTAACCTTATTGTTTTATGCGACTTTGCTTTAATTTAATGAAATTTGAAATCTGAAAAAATATAGCTCAATACAGCTATAATTTATAGGTGTATATAGCTATATAGGTCTTTATAGCTATATAGCTCAATCGGCAGAGTGTACTGGACCTGTATATAGCAGTTACTGTTTACAATAACGATTTTATCACTAAAAATCAAGGGTCCTCCTTAAAAGCGTCTTCAAGTAAGCTTAAACTTCAATGTATACACTATAGATGTATAGGGCCCTGTATCAGAAATCTGGGTGCCTTGTAGTAATCATAGAAGCAATACACTGAGCGGGTCTCACTTAAAAGCGTCTTCAACCGACAACAATTAAGCGTCGCCAGACAAAATCTTCAAAAATACTGAATAAAGTAAGCGACATCAGAAGATATGTTGTTAATATGACAATAATATACCTCTGTACCAAATTTCAATTTGATATTTGAAAAATTGACCGAGTTATGATGAATCAAATTTTCACGATCGCGGCGTGGCACATATATTTGTATAAGCTTGAAAATTGTAGAAAGCGTCGCCAGATAATATCGTTACAATTACCCGCTAAAGTAAGCGACATCAGAAGATATGTTATTAGTTCGACTTTTATTGATATATATTCCAAATTTCAGCTCGATATTTGAAAACATGATCGAGTTATGATTAATTTATTATTATTACGATCGGCGGCGTGGCATACATGTGTGAATAGAACTCAACATATGAAGAAGCGTCTTCAGACAATATCTCGAATATTAACCTATAATGTAAGCGACATCAGAAGATATGTTATTCATATAACTATGATACACCTTTATACTAAACTTCAGGAAGAAATTTGAATAAATGACTGAGTAATGATGTTTTTGATTATTATGATCGACGGCTTGTGAATAGAATTCGACAGATTGTGAAGCGTCTTCAAACTATATCTCTAAAATTAATCGCTTAAGTAAGCGACATCAGAAGATATGTTATTCATATAACAATGATACACCTTTATACCAAACTTCAGGTAGATTTGTTAAAAAATGATTAAGTTATCGTGAATTTAATTTTACAGAGGTGTATAATAGTCATATTAACAACATATCTTCTGACGTCGCTTACTTTATTCAGTATTTTTGAAGATTTTGTCTGGCGACGCTTGTTGTCACTTGAAGACGCTTGTTGTCGGTTGAAGACGCTTTTAAGTGAGACCGCACCCAGGAGATTATCTCAAAACCAGAATTAATTTCTGAAATTTTATATGGTGGTGATCATTTTTAGCTCACCTGGCACGAAGTGCCAAGTGAGCTTATGCCGTGGCGCGTCGTCCGTCCGTCGTCCGTCAACTTTTCCTTTAAACAACTTCTTCTGAAGAACGGACAGGCCTAGAGTCATGATATTTGGCTGAAAGCTTCGTTGGTAGGAGCCCTACAAAGTTTAAGAACGAAAATGACCTTGACCTACTTTCAAGGTCACAGTGGTCAAATATGTCAAACAGTTCAAACAGCTTCTTTTGAAGAATTCAAAGGCATAAAACTATATTATTTGTCTGGTGACTTCCTGGGATCGAGCTCACCAAAGTTTGCAAATGAAAATGACCTCAACCTACTTTAGAGGTCACAGAGGTCAACAACATTTTAATGGTTTTGTTCTTGAGAACTAAAAGGAACGGATTCATAAGATTTGGCTGGGAGCTTTTTGGAATAGAGCTAACCAATTTGAGAAGGAAAATGACATTGACCTACTTTCAAGGTCACAGGGGTCAAATGTGTCAAACACTTCAAACGACTTCTTCTGAAGAATTAAAAGGTATAGAATCTTCATATTTGGCTGATGGCTTCCTGGGATAGAGACCAACAAAGTTTGAGAATGAAAATTACCTAGACCTTCTTTCAAGGTCACAGGGGTCAAATGTGTCAAACACTTCAAACGACTTCTTCTGAAGAACTAAAAGGTATATAATCTTCATATTTGGCTGATGGCTTCCTGGGATAGAGACCAACAAAGTTTGAGAACGAAAATGACCTTGACCTTCTTTTAAGGTCACATGAGGCAGATATGTCAAACACTTTAAACGATTTCTTCTGAAGAACTGGTAGTTATAAAATCTTAATATTTGGCAGGTGGCTTCCTGGGAAAGAGCCAAACAAAGTTTTCGAATGAAAATGACCTTGACCTACTTGCAAGGTCACAGCGTTCAAATATGTCAAACAGTTCAAACAGCTTCTTTTGAAGAATTAAAAGGCATAAAACTATATTATTTGGCTGGTGACTTCCTGGGATAGAGCTCACCAAAGTTTGCAAATGAAAATGACCTCAACCTACTTTAGAGGTCACAGAGGTCAACAACATTTTAATGGTTTTGTTCTTGAGAACTAAAAGGAACGGATTCATAAGATTTGGCTGGTAGCTTTTTGGAATAGAGCTAACCAATTTGAGAAGGAAAATGACATTGACCTACTTACAAGATCACAGGGAACAATATGTCAAGCAACTTCTGATGAAGAATCAAAAAGCATAGAATCTTATAATAATATTTTGCTGGTAGTTTCAACAGATGGAGCCAACAAAGTTTGCGAGGGAAATATTTTTAGTGCAATATAATATTTAATGAGAATATTTTGCTATGACTGCTTAAATATTCTGGTGAGCGATACAGGCCCTCTTGGGCCTCTTGTTGTAGTATCAGTATATAATTGAATTAATAACCTACATGAATAACTCCATATAACTAGGATCCAAAAAAAAAAGATGGCTACAGCAAAGTTAAGATGACAGATTCATAAAATAGAAGGGGCGATAGTCACTTTTGTTTCATTGGACGGTACTGTTTTGCTCGTACTTTATGGAAACGTGGATTGTCTACATGGTGAATAACAACATAAAAGTCAGATTTCATAATTTCAAGATGGCTGCCATAGCATATTATTGGCTGATGCCTTTCGGACTACATCTTCTATTCATTCAAAGTTTCACCCAGGTGACTTTTAAGACAAGTAGGCCAAATGTATTTTACATAGTATGTTGCAGTACAAGATTAAATTCTTTGTATATATTAATTAAGGGTAGGTCATGTCTGCAGTTATCCATATATTTTCCAGGCCGCTGTCCATGTCGGAGAACTTGAGTAAACTTGCCCACAAGATCGACTTTTACAAGGATGAATCTGATGACAAGAAAGGATCATCAGGTGACATAGAAAAGGAAAGTGATGATAAGAACGCTATATCATTCCAACCCTCACTATGGCCCTGGGACTCTGTCAGGAACAAAATCAAGTGAGTGTGTAGGAGCTTTTAAGCAGGAAATAACAAAATAATTTGTTATTTCGTGATAAATTAATTCAAAAACCGATATAAGCTTAATAATCTGATTGAGGTGAACCAATATGGCGTTATGGTATGTACAGAAATTACCATATATTCATATCTTTAATGCTGATTGAACATCTATTAGGCCAATGAATTGATTATATTGAGCCAGGTATTGATTCTCTCAGTAAAGTTGATGGAAAACTACAGTTAAAGCCTGGTTCTGACAATAATAATTTTCTTTGCTGTTCATTTTTGCATCTCGGGAGATACAGAAACTAATTGCTACAGCAGCATAACAACTAATTCTTTTGTAGGCATTATAAGTCCGCTCTCTGTAGTTTTAAATCAAGTCTTAGTGAAGAAAATCAATCGTCATGGGCACTTGTAAATCCCTCAAAGTCATACATGAGGCCATAGTACCCTCAACAGATGGTTCACAAAAATTTGAGCAAATTCTAAAATTTTGAGCAGAAAAATCCTTCTGGATTCATTTTGTACCCAACAGAACAACCATCAGAATTACTTTCTGAGATTTCTATAAATTTCCACTCAAGAATTGTACATTATTGTAAACTAAAAGTGAGAGCTTTCTGACTCCTTAGGGGCTCCTTAACGGAGATGAGTGTACTACTGGATGTGCTCAACATTACCAAGGAGAAGCGCTACATGATCCTTGACCAGGTTTCTCAACCTGCGCCTGATCCCAAACCTCAACTCCAGCTTCAACTCCTCTCCAAGAAATCGGTATACAACCTAGTTTATAATCTATATTTATATTTAATTTCTCCATTGCAATATTCACTATTAAATACTCAGCTATAAAACCCATTTATCCCTTAAAACCACAATATTTTACTTTTAATCAGAAGGTTTGTATAACCTACAAGGGAATTCAATTGCAAATTTGAAAAGTCACAAAAATGTATTAAAAAGTATTTGTATAATTGTATTCATTATGTTGTTGTTTCTTCTTTGATCAGAGATATAGTTGAATTTTTATTATATATTTAATATTATGTCAATAAATCATGAAGAATATCATAGAATGAATGAAAGTGGGGTGTACTGCTGAAGAATTGATTATCTGTTAGGTAAAGGAATTCAGACCAGGCCACATTCTGGTTTTCCCTAATATGGTCTGGGCAAGCATTGCTTTTAAACAATCTTAAACGTTCATGTTCTTAACAATCATGTAGTATCAATAACAATGATTACTTATACGCTACGGAGAAGCTGTGTGACCTTTATATATGTATCATATGATCATGATTAAGTTTCCTTATCTATCTACAGGCCCTCAATGAGGCGACCAATGTTTTATTGAATGGGGCGGAGAGATTGCGACGATCCCAGTCAGAGATGGGGAGTAAACCACAGGGAGACTTCCATATAGAGCTGCTCAAGCTCAGACAGAACTGGCGACTCAAGAAGGCAGGAAAGTTGATACTCGGGGACCTGAGTTACAAGTCAGGTCAGTTATAAGGACAAGGGAGGGTTTACGCGTGTCATACTTCATACTCGGTACTTATAAAGATTGGTGTTATTATGTACAACTGAAACAGTTGACTTTGAGGTCAAGAGTGTTGTCAAACATTTAATGGGAAAAAAGATAGATACAAACTTGATAACTAACAGCAGATGTGTGAAACCTCCATATAGATTCATAAAGTTATTGTAAGGTATTTCAGTTAAGTTAGGGCAGCCCATGTTGACTTCTCTGGATGATTATCCTTGGTGTATATTATTTGCCTTGTTTGTGAATCTTAAATGAAGGAAGATACAGAAAAAACATTCAGATAGTCAGTAATGTTGATTAAAACCAAGAAAATAAGAGATGAGTATTTCTAGATAGAGTGAAGTACACAACCCCTTTTTAACGGGCATTACTAGTTTTGTTGAACAATCTTAATCATTATAAACTTTGATCAGAAATTTATTAATTGAAAACCATTGTGCCCAAACAGATGAGCATTGAATATGAATTTTGATGCTATGTACATGGCTCAAGTATTGTTACTTCCCTTTATCAATAGCTGGGTCACGATACTGGCAGGGAGGAACCTTTGAGGTGGTCAAGAGCACGTCTGTTGCAGAGGGGTCAGAGGCCACCTTACCAAAGGGCAGTCTGGAGGTCATCATCCCTAGCGAACTGGAGGGTGTAGCATACATTCAGGTGGAGGTCAAGGTCGTCCCTGGTGAGTTTTATTTTTAAAAGATGAAATGGTCGTATCGTACAAGCCCTAATCCTGTACACTGATGATTTATTTTGTAACCGAGTGTGACTGTCAATATCTGGCTTAGCACTAACACTTAAATTCACTGTTACAGAAGCCATGGACTTGATGAGTGCAATTTTGAAGATCCCATCTGGCCTAGGCACCATACCTACTGATGCCTACTGGCAACAGAAACTGGAGGTGGCACAGAATGTCCTCTTCTGTAAAGAAATATTTGCACATGTGAGGGTTGAGTAATGTAGAAAACAATAATGGTATTGCTACAAAGGCTGCGGTGGCCAAGTGGTTATGGCGTCTGATATTCTTCTACCACTAGCCCTCCACCACTGGGTCGCAGGTTCGAGGCCTATGTGAGGCAGTCGCCAGTTACTGGCCGTAGGTCGGTAGTTTTTCTCTGGGAAATCAGGCTTACCTCCACCACCAAATCCTGGCACGTTCTTAAATGACCATAGCTGTTAATAGGACGTAAAACACACACAAACTAAAAAACCAAACCAAGTTACCAGTAAACTGTGACAGTGTAAATACTGCCCTTTAACAGGCATCCATATGTTTTGCTGATATTACATAACTATACAACATACAATAATTAAAAGCTATGGTGTTTATCAGTCGTGTATTTTTCTGTTTAACACAGACTTTTAGGGAACTGTACAGTAAAAGTGGATCATTGTGTTTCCACCCTTCTACTCAAAGTGTGTATGGTGTCAGTATGTTATATATTATTTTGTCATCCTCCAAAGATAACCCCTTATTGCTTAACTTGACAGGATACATGAAGCTGTGTTGTATTTTTTTCCATGGTAACATGTGTTGCAGTAGGGGAGAAAATCATCAAAATGGATTGATTGCATTATTTGATTGTATGAGTTGTACATGAACGTGTTGTGAAGTGCCTTAAGAGGGCTATATGCTAGCTAGATACGGTGTTTGATCAAATGTTGTATGTACATAATGTAGCTTTTAGCTGGTGATATTTTAATGTTTTTTTATTTGTATATTTTCCAGTTGGCCCGGGAAGCTGTCCAAAGTAAATCATCAGTACCTCATCTAGTCGTTGGCAATCAGATCATCACAAATGTAAGCGCCAGATTGTTGACCTGCCATTACACTACCACCACACTACAATTATTTGCTGTCAACTGATTCTGAAAACGTTGCAACAATTTATTGCTGATTATTATGTGTAATCATTACCACTACTTGCTGTTGATTGTTTTGAGTAAACTCTGTCCCTTTTTGCTACATATTTGAGCAGGGACAATGTAAGCAAACAGTGGGGGAGGGGGGCAATCACTAGGATTTCTTATTGCATGCTTGCTGGAGTAATTGAATGGTTTCTCTACCCTAGATATTCCCTGGTATTCAACTTTCCATTGTGCTGTGCCATTCTCCTGGGAAAGAGAAAGAGAAAAAGGTAAGCCCTTCATCTACCTCATTATATCATTGATGGCTTTTTTTTGTATTCAGATAAAATAACTTCACAAATGAAATTACATATTTTAACAAATTAAATGAAAATAAACAAGAAATGAATTATTTCACTTTTCTAATAATTAAGTGTCTTAAATCTTTAAAGCATTTCTCACTAATTTTTTGAGTAATTTCTGTTACTGATCAGCAGGTTGAATGCTTTAAAAATGCACTCTAAACCTTTCCAAAGAATATGTATTTACAAAAAGGAATTTCTCTAAATAATAAATGCAACCAATATTGAAGCTTTGATTTGCCTTGCAATGCAGTTAGAAAGTTTGTTACCATATTCAGATTCTTACATACTTAATTCTCCTTTACCTTTGTTTAAAGCAATCATCAGCACCTCATAAATTGGACCACAATCATGTGTTGGAGCACTCTCTCCATCAACTCTTACGTGAGCTTCACTACAAAAACATCCACTTCTCCCCGCCACATCCTGTCACATCTGTCATCGGCATCTCAAAGAAACGTCGACTAGCTGGACCCAGTGCCCTGTCACGGTCAGAACTGGCTGAAATGATGGAGAGGTGAGTCAGTACAGTGTTTAGATGATGTAGAATTGTATGAAACTGTTAACCTGTTATCATTTAGAACAGAATCTAGAGGCGTTTTGCTGACCATAGAAATCTAACAGAATTAACCTCAAGCCTTTGAATAAGGCCAAAACAAAAAAAAAGGTGTCTGTTTAGGATTTCCGACCGACCCTAGCTTTTTACCCCTGACCCAAAACTTTTTGATGAAAAAACACCTTCTTTTTTCTTTTTTTTTAAACCCGCTGATTTTCGAATTTTAGAAGGTTCATTGCCTTTCAAAATGGCTTCCAGCTCGGTGTTGGCGCTAAATGTCATCATATGGAGCACAATTTGCCTCCAAATGAACCTTGTTTATGTAATTCTTTGTTTTACATACAATAGTAGGGTCATAATCACATGACCAAAAATATACAAAAACAAAACAAAAAAATAGAAATCTGACCTACCTACCCTAATTTTTTTGCCCATGCAACCCTCAACAGACGATATAGTTTTTTTGGCCTAAATATCAAAATTTCAAAAATAATAGTTCTACAGATTTGTATATACCTGTAGATTATTTTAAGGTTACAGTTCTTGAAGAACAAATCAATCTAATCAGCAATAATAAAGGTGATTGCAATTATATTTGAAACAATATGAGAAGTTCTTTTTCAATTGGCTAACATTTTAATGTATTGAGTAATTTATTCTGTTGTTCCAGCGAAACTTTACTACATCAAATCATCAAGCAGACAAAACACAGTGTTTTACGCCTAAGGTACGTAGACAACATTACGCCTCAGGTATGTAGACAACATTACACCTCAGGTACATAGACAACATTACGCCTCAGGTATGTAGACAACATTCCGCCTCAGGTATGTAGACACCATTACACCTCAGGTACGTAGACAACATAACGCCTCATGTACATAGACAACATTATGCCTCAGGTATGTAGACAACATTGAACCTCAGGTACGTAGACAACATAACGCCTCATGTACATAGACAACATTATGCCTCAGGTACATAGACAACGTTACGCCTCAGGTACGTAGACAACATTACCCCTCAGGTATGTAGACAACATTCACCTCAGGTATGTAACCAACATTCCTCCTCAGGTACGTAGACAACATTACGCCTCAGGTATGTAGACAACGTTACACCTCAGCTATGTAGACAACATTACGCCTCAGCTATGTAGACAACATTACGCCTCAGGTATGTAGACAACATTAAACCTCAGGTACGTAGACAACATAACGCCTCAGGTACATAGACAACATTATGCCTCAGGTACATAGACAACATTACGCCTCAGGTATGTAGACAACATTACGCCTCAGGTACATAGACAACATTACTCCTCAGGTATGTAGACAACATTACGCCTCAGGTATGTAGACAACATTCACCTCAGGTATGTAAACAACATTACTCCTCAGGTACGTAGACAACATTACGCCTCAGGTACGTAGACAACATTATGCCTCAGGTATGTAGACAATATTACGCCTCAGGTATGTAGACAACATTACGCCTCAGGTACTTAGACAACATTATGCCTCAGGTATGGAGACAATATTACGCCTCAGGTATGTAGAAAACATTACGCCTCAGGTACGTAGAGAACATTACGCCTCAGGTACGTAGAGAACATTACGCCTCAGGTACGTAGAGAACATTACGCCTCAGGTACGTAGAGAACATTACGCCTCAGGTACGTAGACAACATTAGGCCTCAGGTATGTAGACAATATTACCCCTCAGGTATGTAGACAACATGACGCCTCAGGGATGTAGACAACGTTACGCCTCAGGTGTAAAGACAACATTATGCCTCAGGAATGAAGACAATATTACGCCTCAGGTATGTAAACAACATTACTCCTCAGGTACGTAGACAACATTACGCCTCAGGTATGTAGACAACGTTACGCCTCAGGTGTAAAGACAACATTGTGCCTCAGGTATGTAGACAACATTACGCCTCAGGTATGTAGACAACGTTACGCCTCAGGTATAAAGACAACATTATGCCTCAGGTATGTAGACAACATTACGCCTCAGGTACGTAGACAACATTACGCCTCAGGTACGTAGAGAACATTACATCTCAGGTACACAAGAACTCAGCTTAACTTCTGTAGTAATTCAGATTAATCATAGATAGGCTGGCATAGATTTAGATATTTCCCATTATTAACATTTGTGCTGCAATGCTATGTAAACCAACCCAAGTCAGCTAAGAGTAATGCAACCAGGGTATCTGGTGTGCTGATCCTGATGTCATTACAATTTTGCCTTCATTATCCTGATGTGGGAGAAAGCCAACTGATAATGGCATTTTTTGGTTCCATTGTTGAATACACACCTCAGATTTGAAAGACATATACTAAATCTAAATGTCATTCTATCAATCAATGAAAATTGTAAAATTAATAAAAGGATTCAACTGTATTCTCTTCACAGTTATAGTCCTTTACTGCTAAACAGGAGTGCAGACAAATACTCATCAAACTTTAATGTACATAATTCAATTAATCTGCAAGCCTTTGCAAAACGTGGTGGTAAATTTCAAAATTGTTTTTCCCAACATCTTGAGATCGCTCCATCTACATCACACGGAATTGGTAGCTTCTATTCACCCTTTAGTGGTAGCTTCTATTCACCCCTTTAGTGGTAGCTTCTATTCACCCTTTAGTGGTAGCTTCTATTCACCCCTTTAGTGGTAGCTTCTATTCACCCCTTTAGTGGTAGCTTCTATTCACCACTTTAGTGGTAGCTTCTATTCACCCCTTTAGTGGTAGCTTCTTTTCACCCTTTAGTGGTAGCTACTCACATGTTTACATTCTGTCTCTTTAATTCAACAGAACCATGAAGACTATAGACCATTATGCTTCAATGCAGAAAGATCCCAACCTAGCTACTCACTGGAACTGTACAAACAACAGTCTAGAGGCGAGCTGTCGGGTAGTGATCACATCCCAAGGATACGATCTACGGTAAGTTAAATGTCATCTCACACAAATCACCTGTACATATCTGGGAATGTACCTGTTTAGATATTAATGGATATGTGACAACATTGTTGCTGATCTTATTTCACTTCCGAATGTATTAGAGGCTGCATTAAGTGACTGTACTTTCTGTTGGTTTGTATGTCGTACCTATGTTAGACTTTGTTTCTTCTTTACTCTATTATTTGAAGTCTCAAGATTCATCAAACTTCATATGTGGATACGTCATCTTGAGATGAACCACACCAATGTAATACTGGTATATAAAATATAGGTCACTGTGACATGTTTTCCACTTCAGTGACTTTGGTTAGACTGTGCATTTCCCAGACAATATCACAGATACTGGAGGATTTAAAAAAAACACTTAAAAGATGGTGATAGCTGAATTACATTTATTAAACACAAATGTTTCCATATTAATTTTCTATAGGGTGTGGCACAGCTTTGTATTGAACATTGGTGTAGACATGGTGAAAGCTGTCACCCGTGAGGGGCGTGTCTACACATTCTCCTACGAGGAACGGGAACTGGAGGACTTCATCATGTGGCAGGTAAACCTACCAAATTGTCTAATGTACGAAGGATAAACTAAATAACACACGTACAAAATGTCAACAAAATGTTTCATTCTCTGAATACAAATCAAACAAGAAGATAATGTTTGTGTTAAACATACTGTTTGTATGTTACAGATATCACAGCACCAGTTGAGTGTTTCCCAGAACCTAGCCCGTATGATGGGATGGCAGATGCTCAGTACCAGTACTGCCCTTGGGGTGGGGGACATGGAAGATGTGGGCACAGCCTCCTCACTAGTACTTGCTTCACCAAGTCATGACAGGTATAATCCTACTTCACATCAAAATTCAATTTCAATACAGTTCATCTTCCCATTTCATACTACCATTAATTAATGTTACTCTTCAATTCATATTGCAAGCATTCTTCTTCTCTATTTTTTTCATCAAATTTAAGTAAAAATAAAAATTCTATTTCTAACACTATGAAGACCATTGCCTTATTTTACTCTCCAGGGTGCTGGCAATAAAGAGCGGACCAAGTAGTGGTGTGAAGGTCTTCCTGCAGTGTCATTCCAAAGATCACAATGGCAAGAACAGAGCTGTATTAAAAGACATCAAATGGCAAAGCATAGGCACAGACTTTCAGTCCGTCGACCTCGCACGGTTTGACGGGCGTAGCTTTGCTTCAAAGTTTGAACTGTTACTGGCAGTACTTGCTAGATCATCAAAGTGAGTGTTGTTTGTCTTGTTCTATAGTGCTAATATGTGACATTATTGTGAAAGAATGCTGCCATTTAGAGAAGAACTTTTAATGAGGGAAAATGTCAGATGCATCAAATTCGATTTGAAAACGATGATCACAGGATTGATATGGAAACATATCTGAATGGTCAGTGTAGATTTGTCCGACAAACAGGCAGCCGGTGAATTGTTGTCTGAAAAACAGATGGACAGTGAATTGCTGTCTGACCAACAGATTGCCTCTGAAGATTTGTCCGACAAGTATGTGGCCTCTAAAGATTTGTCTGACAAGTATGTGGCCTCTGAAGATTTGTCTGACAAGTATGTGGCCGGGGAAGATTTGTCTGACAATCAAGTGGCCAGTGAAGATTTGTCCGACAATCAACTGGCCAGTGAAGATTTGTTCGACAATCAAGTGGCCAGGGAAGATTTGTTCGACAATCAAGTGGCCAGTAAAGATTTGTTCGACAATCAAGTGGCCAGTAAAGACTTGTTCGACAATCAAGTGGCCAGTAAAGACTTGTTCGACAATCAAGTGGCCAGTAAAGACTTGTTCGACAATCAAGTGGCCAGTAAAGATTTGTCCAACAATCAAGTGGCCAGTGAAGATTTGTCTGACAAGTATGTGGCCAGTGAAGATTTGTTAGACAATCAAGTGGCCAGTGAAGATTTGTCTGACAAGTATGTGGCCAGTGAAGATTTGTTCGACAATCAAGTGACCAGTGAAGATTTGTCCGACAATCAAGTGGCCAGTGGAGATTTGTTCGACAATCAAGTGGCCAGTGAAAATTTGTCTGCAAATCAAGTGGCCAGTGAAGATTTGTTCGACAATTAAGTGGCCAGTAAAGATTTGTTCGACAATCAAGTGGCCAGTGAAAATTTGTCTGCAAATCAAGTGGCCAGTGAAGATTTGTTCGACAATCAAGTGGCCAGAGAAGATTTGTTCGACAATCAAGTGACCCGTGAAGATTTGTCCGACAATCAAGTGGCCAGTGAATATTTGTTCGACAATCAAGTGGCCAGTGAAAATTTGTCTGCAAATCAAGTGGCCAGTGAAGATTTGTTCGACAATCAAGTGACCAGTGAAGATTTGTCCGACAATCAAGTGGCCAGCGAAGATTTGTTCGACAATCAAGTGGCCAGAGAAGATTTGTTCGACAATCAAGTGACCCGTGAAGATTTGTCCGACAATCAAGTGGCCAGGGAAGATTTGTCCGACAATCAAGTGGCCAGTGAATATTTGTTCGACAATCAAGTGGCCAGTGAAGATTTGTTCGGCAATCAAGTGGCCAGTGAAGATTTGTTTGACAATCAAGTGGCCAGTGAAGATTTGTTCGGCAATCAAGTGGCCAGTGAAGATTTGTTTGACAATCAAGTGGCCAGTGAAGATTTGTTCGACAATCAAGTGGCCAGTGAAGATTTGTCCGACAATCAAGTGGCCAGTGAAGATGCATGTCTATAATATTTTTTTCATAAATAAGACATTTTGCAATTAAAATATCACAAACCATATGCTACACTTTCGCTCAGTTTGCCAAATTGTAAACAGATTTTCAAAGTGGTTCAAACATTTTTGTAACCCAGATTTTCTTTATCTAGGAATTCTAAAGTATATTATTTACAAAAACCTTTTCAACTAAAATACTGAGCGAAACACTTCCAAACACCAACCACTCTTTATGCTGTAAGCGGCTGTCTTAGTATACTACAGGTAGTTGTCTTAGTATACTGCAGGTAGTCATTTAGTATACTACAGGTAGTTGTCTAAGTATACTACAGGTAGTTGTCTTAGTATACTGCAGGTAGTCATTTAGTATACTACAGGTAGTTGTCTAAGTATACTACAGGTAGTTGTCTTAGTATACTACAGGTAGTTGTTTTAGTATACTACAGGTAGTTGTCTTAGTATACCACAGGTAGTTGTCTTAGTATACTACAGGTAGTTGTCTTAGTATACTACAGGTAGTTGTCTTAGTATACTACAGGTGGTTGTCTTAGTATACTACAGGTAGTTGTCTTAGTATACTACAGGTAGTTGTCTTAGTATACTACAGATAGTTGTCTTAGTATACTAAAGGTAGTTGTCTAATTAGTATACTACAGGTAGTTGTTTTAGTATACTACAGGTAGTTGTCTTAGTATACCACAGGTAGTTGTCTTAGTATACTACAGGTAGTTGTCTTAGTATACTACAGGTAGTTGTCTAATTAGTATACTACAGGTAGTTGTCACCAAAGTTAATGTAGGTATTTCTATCTACAAAAAACATAAATATCAAGACTTTTGGAACAGGTGCAAATGTTTTGTTCTCACCGCTTGACATATATAATGCAATGAATGTAAATTATCAACAATATATTTGGTGCTGAAAACACACATAAATTCTTTGCTCTGTGCCAGTTTTTAAAAGAACATTTTATCTGAAGTTTTGTGCTCTGTGCTGTATTACATAAGAATACTTACACATGTAAAAAGTCTTGTGCTGTGGGCTGGAATTGATATGGATAAAAAAATCCATTCAGAAGGCTGTTGTGGACTGTGAGCTCCATTGCTGTACAATAAAGATGAAACTGATTCATTTGTTGTTGTTGTTGTTGTTTTTGTTGTTGTCGTCGTCGTCGTTGTCTTCGTCGTCATTTTGTTGTTGCTGCATCTCCTCGTTAACAGTTGTTGTTATTGTTGTCATTTGTTGTTGTTGTTGTTGTTGTTGAACATTATGATTAGATATTTCATATATTTTCAATCCTGCTATTTATTAAACAATGTATGTGTATGAAATTTCTGTGTGAAACAGACACTCACAAATGTTGATCCCCTTACCTGGCACAAAGTGCCTATAAGTATCTATAATAGTGTGTTTTCCATTGTCCTTATGTCTGTCCTTGTTAACCTATTTCTGGAATGATTTCTGTATAACCAAGAGGCCTAGTATAATGATATTTGGAATTTACCATGCAGCTAGGTAGGACCACCCAAGTTTGTTCAGATGATGATATTGACCGTCTCTCAAGGTGGCATGGGCCAAATATGTTTAAATATTTAAGTGAATCATTCTAAAAGTCCATGTTTTTAGATAATCAATATTTGATCGGCTATGAAGTGCTAGATACTGGATAAACAGTCTTGACCTGTTTTCAAGGTCTTAAAGGTTAAATGTGCAAAAATATTTTAAAATGCATCTAAACATCCATTTCATGTAAAGTAATGATATTTGGCCTGTTGCTTGTAGTTTCTAAACATACATTTCATGTAAAGTAATGATATTTGGCCTGTAGCTTGAAGTTCTAAACATACATTTCATGTAAAGTAATGATATTTGGCCTGTAGCTTGAAGTTTCTAAACATACATTTCATGTAAAGTAATGATTTTTGGCCTGTTGCTTGAAGTTGCTGTTTTGAAGAGCTACCATGTTTGTAGATGACCTTGACTTGTTCTCTTACAGGGTTTAAATTTGTGTAACAAAACATCAGTAGCTTGCTGGGAAGGAGTGTTCCTAGGACAACAGAATTCAACATTATAGGAATCAATGTTATCGAGGGGCAGTAATCAATAGAAGAAATGCAAGTTTGAAGAATATTTCTAAATTTTAATCGACATTTTGACATGGAGCATCCCTTGAGAAAAGAGTGATTTATAATTTTGTAAATGAAGGACAAGGATTTGAAATGTGCATTTCAACGAATGAATATGAAAAGTTGATCAGCATTGATTTTAGGGGGTAAATAACAGTCTGCTTAACTATAACTAAAAAAAGTTTAAAGATTGACAAAGCACAGTGGCTTTAAGTCTCCTGACTATATGGGCTGTGTAGAACACTTCAGGACTAAATTATAAATACATCCAACAAAAAGAAAATTTAAAAATGTCACGCTGTAGAAAACACGTTAATCTTTGTAAGATGACATTTAGTTGGCAGTAGAGGTAGCAGTATACAGTAGAGGGTTGTGGCCATGGGTGATATTTTTGTTAAATGGCTAACCCCTGTATAATGATATGTAAAAAAATATAAAAATAAAACTGTACTAAAATTGGTATAAGCATGATGAAGTGGGCTATGTGAGCTTCACATTTGTAAAAAAGAAAGGGTTTTTTTGGTTCGAGAATAAAATTTTGTCCATAATCCGAAAGGGTGCGTACACATGAAAAGCTAGCTTTACAGGAGGTAAAATTTTGACAACAGCACACGACGCAAAATTGCAAAAAATCAAGTTTTACAACTTTACTGGGACTAAGATAATTCTGCAACCAGGTAGGTAATCTTTAATTTCAGACAGAGCTTAGGAAAAAAAATCCTAGTTGCGGGGGTCAAATTTTGGGTTAAAAATAGCAATTTTTGGCATTTTTTGGTAATTTTTGATGTGGTAACCATGGTTTTCACACAAGTGACATACATAGAAAAAAGAGGTTTATACACTTCTCAGTACTTTATATGTATTGTAAATGTAATGCAGTTTACAGATATATATACATGTGTTGTGTAGGGTATAGATTTCCTCGACATGTGCCTTGTTTATCAGAGTCCGGCCATTTCTACTGTATACTGCTACCAGAATAGTGAAATATTTGTTAATATGAAATCTTTCGTTGGATTCAATCAAGTGTGACGCTCATTAGCTACCTCAAGGACTGGAAAGGTGTTTGCCACACTGAACTCGTTTGTAATGAAGTAATGCAGTAGTTAGACCACCAGACAGAAAATCTTAGGGTTTGGTTATAAAACCAAAGTTAAGCAATGCCGAAAGTGTCGAATGGGGGCAGAGAGGAAGAGCGAATGTAACGCTCAAAGTTAATCAGTTAAAACGCCATGTTGCTGAATGTTTGATTTCTCTGTGATGACGATCCATCATCTGTGGCACCGTTTGGACCACACTGACCGTTGAAAGACTGGCAGGCCACGTGTCATTAACCCTATTCCATCTACGAGACAGGTTTCTTTCAGCCATGATCTTCGCAAGAACGTTTCTTGGTTGCCTTGTATGTGTCTAACCATTTGCAATGATTTTAAACCAGCTCTTTACTGACAGCCCTATACGGTTTCCGTTGTGACTACTCCAGCAATGTTAGAGGTTTAATTTGGCGAGATACTTTTGACATAATCACATCTGATAAAGAAAATAACTGACCAGCGGCCTTTGATGTTATAAGAGTGCGCTTTGCTACAACATCAGCTTATCACCATAATTTGGGTTAGGCACACTGCTGATAGCTGTTGAGAAAAATTCATGATATTAAAAGGCTTTTGACACTGTGGCGCGCAGGGCTTATGGCCAAAGTTTAAGATCTTTGAATTAATGGACAACCCTTCCAGTGTATTCGCTAGTCTTATACAGATATGGTGAGCGCTGTGACGTGGAAGAGAACGACGTCACTTTGGTTTCCTGTTGAGTCGACAATGATGAGTACTGTCCACATTCCTATACCAAACATTCATCGATTACCTTCAGTCTTTATAAGAAAGTGACACTACCGTCAATTCTAGTATGATGTGAGCACTGGGTTCAACTCGGTACTACCGACCTTGCGAAACTCAGTCGCTTTCACCATTATGCTGCTTAGGTCATTCTTGGAGCTGATTTTTGGGAAAGCTTTTTCTGATTGAGCAGTCTCTCTTAACAAAGCAAGTCTTCACAAGAAGACTATATTCCTTTCTTCATTTGCAAACGGAAAATGTTAGAAGTGTTCGTGAAAGAGGGTTTGTTCCAATTATTGTGGGGAAACTCTACGGATATAACCTGTCGTCTTACTTGGATGCATACCTTCGTAATCACACATTTCTCTCTTAGTTTCAGTGGAAGGGGATAGTGGGAAATTCAATAATGGCTACAGAGAACCTGGCCTTAAAAGATCGTCTTAGAAACAACTGTGATTTTGATATATTTAGGAACTGTCACTCCTCCTACAACCGTACAGAATGCTGCGCACAGCAAAATCTAACACAGACATAGAAGCAATTACACATTGTGCAGATTATTGACAAAGCCTTCGGCACCTGACCAGAACATTTCCTCCCAGTGTTCCAAAGATTTCTGCGACATCAAATCCCACTATTGCTGTACTCTGGGCTCATTTTCTTCAGATGTAAGTTTGGGTTGAATGCGTTCAATTCCATTTATCAACATGACAACGCTACCTTTGTACACAATTTAATAGGTGCGTCAACAGGTCCCCAATTTCAGGATGAACAACACAAAAACTGTCACTGATGCAGGCAGCATACTTTGTAGTGTGCGCTTCGTGACCTCACGAGAATGGACTGAGTTTAGATCCCACGACAAAGACTTTTTCTGTCCTTTTGGTATTTTGTTATTTTTTTTCTTGTACACAAATATGTCCTTTTTGGAGGAAATAAAGTTTGATGAGGATGCTTTGGGGTGGTATTTGTGGTGGGAATCAATGATGTAAAGAGGTATGGCGCGTAAGATACGCTCTAACAATACATGATTAGTAACATTATATGTACGTGCATTCCGTGACTCCTTCTCTGAAAATAGTACATGTACGTTCACTGTGGAATTTTTGGTAAATGCTTACATTACGAGTTGTTCATGGAATTGCGAAGAATATTACAGGGAAACATAAGAGAGAAAAATAATACAATAAAACACGGAGTGATGTATGTATATATATAATTATGAACGAGATGACATACGAGAGAACGGTTTTGGATCACCAATCTACAAACCCGCTACCCTCGAGGTATGAACGAATAGGCGGTTGCCATCAGCTCGTTTTCCTTCCAGGGGGCATTTGACCTAATGGTGCATTACTGCACAGTTGGTCTGCTATCTCACCTGCCTGCTGCTGCATGTCAGTGTGTGTGACCAACAGCCGTTGTCAGATTAATTCTGCAGATTTATACAGTATCTTAGCCATTTCATCTACTTATTCCTCCTGCACTCACTTATTTGATAATTACATGCATTATTCCTGCAAACCGAAAGAACCGACTAAGTGTGGACCCCCTTCTGTGACTGTTAAATCCACTGCAGAATTGAGAGGCAACTAATGAGGGCATTCCGTAGGAAATTGAGATTTTTCACATTTACCGGGCCAGATTCCCACATGCACATGTTCCAAGCTTTTGATATCTCATAACCTTCTTTCTGGTTCTTATCTCTCGTTGACTCACTTTATGTGATAGTGCATCTTGCGCAAGAATAGGTCCTCTACATCAGCGTTCCTTGTCCGCGATGTTCTCAGCTTAATTGCTGCCTTTGGCTGTCTTTAGCCGAGGGGACTATTGGTTTTTAGCCCACCATCATCTGATGGTGGGCTATTCAAATCACCTTGCGTCCGTGGCCCGTCATCCGTCCGTTGTCCGTCGTCCGTCCTTAAACAATTTTTGTTATCGGTATTTCTCAAGAAGTACCTGAGGGATCTTTCTCAAATTTAATATCTAGGTTTCCCTTGGTCCTTTGCTGTGCAGGGCAACTTTTGAGACTAATTGGATAAACAACATGGCCGACAGGCAGCCATCTTGGATTTTGATTGTGAAAGTTTGTTATCGCTATTTCTCGGGAAGTATCAGAGGGATCTTTCTCAAATTTTATACATAGGTTCCCCTTGGTCCTTA